ATAATTTGAATGAAATATATGAAATATACATCCCTTATACTTATGTCCATTGTGTGTTTAATTTTTATTTCGAATTTTCATTTCCAAAATTTAATATTTATTCCTATTTCTAATTTCCTATTTTATTTCCTATATTATTTCTAGTTTCCTTTATTGTGTGCTTGTTATAGAACTAGCATGAACTTTGTATCTACGATGTTAAGTCTTGTGTCCACAATGCTAGAAATCGAAATCTTGGATAGAAAGGGAATTGATTAATTGCATTTGAATAATTCAATTAATCAATGTGATCGATTAATTTTCTTTTCGTCCGAGATTTCGGATTCAATTTCTAACATTGTAAACACAAGACTTAAGACTAGTAATACGGGCTGCATTTCATTTCATGCATAATGCATATGTGAACATGATTTGTCCTTATTTAACGTTTGACGCAACAAGGATGAAATATTCATCATGCGCATCATACATGAAATGGAACACAGCCATGTTCTTTCGATCGTCGGATTTTTAGCACGAAATTGTTTCTGATTATAGACAAACAAGTATTTGTCATGTGAATCATCATCGATACCAACAGAAGCAGATGTACAATATAGCGATAAAGGTTCCTACGCAAAAGCACAAGCTGCATTTACATCAAGCTCAGATGATGAAGATAGCATAAAGAAGATGCAGAGGAAAAAAAGAAGGAAGCAGTTCAAACGATTGAATAAAATTCTTCCGAGGGAAATAGCTAATGATTATAGACTATGGAAGTATTACATTAAACGATTTGGACTCTTCAGCAGATATGAGGATGGGATTAAATTAGATCGAGGTATATATATTTATCTTTGTATATTTTTCAGAATGATTTTTTGTATATATAAAACACTATTTTTTTTCTAGAGAGTTGGTTTTCTGTAACACCAGAAGAAATAGCAAAAGATATAGCAGAAAGGTGTAGGTGCGACACAATCATAGATGCATTCTGTGGTGCTGGTAGCAACGCCATTCAGTTTGCATTTACATGTGAAAGAGGTATATATGTTATATAGACATTGTTATAGAAGTTATGGACAAAAAAAATATTTATTATATTTTACAGTGATAGCCATAGACATCGATCCTAATAAAATTAAAATTGCTCGGCACAATGCAGGAATTTACGGTGTGGACGATAGAATAGAATTTATTACCGGTGATTTCCTGCAATTAGCACCACGTTTGGTTGCCGATGTTGTATTTTTAAGTCCGCCATGGGGCGGCCCTGACTATATAAAAAGAAAAGTATTTGATCTCGAAAGTATTATACCTCCCGTTGGTGGAAAAGGTGTATTTAAAGCAGCAAGAAATATCACGCAACATGTGGCCTATTATCTTCCTAGAAATACAGATCCTCTACAGGTGAATGTAATGACAAATGTTTTTAATATAAATAAGTATTAGGTTAATTGTAATTTTATTAGTTAATATTTGTGTATATAAAGAATATACAATTTTTCATGATTTAATCAAACAAATATAAATATAATTATGTTACAGATTATCATGTTAGCTGACAGGTATGATAGAGTGGAACTTCAGCAAAACATATTCAATGGGAAGTTTACAGCTTGTACAGCTTACTATGGTGAATTGGCCAGAACGTAATTTAAGCGAAGAAATAAAATATATCAGTATACATTTTTTCAATAATTTTTACTTTCATTTTGGAACTGAATGACAATTTTTTTCAATCAAAAATATTTTAATTATACTGTGAAAAACGTGGAAGGATAATGTAACTTACATTTTATAACTTTCAGATTCTATTAATTTACATTTTTATGTATGTTCTTCCATATATATAATTTTAATTATTATATTAATAAACATATCTCTAAGAGTAAATTTCTTGTAATATATTTAAAATTTTATTATTTAAGATTTTACAAAGTTTATAAAAATGGTAACGTAATAATTGCTGAAAATTATTTAGTTTTTATTTATGATGACATTTGGACCATTTATTGCAAAATGAGAAATCAGATATGATGAAATAAAAGTCTTTGATGTAGCAGGAGAATGATTTGAAACAATTTTATATCAAGCATTAGTGTATATAATGAATATGTTTACAATAATCATTTCAAGTAAAAATCATTGCAACTTTTATCAAAAATGTATAAAATGTAACATTACTTTAAAAATTTATTTTGAATTATGCTATTTCTAAGTTTAAGTTATTAATTATTTATATAACATTTGTATATATTCAAAAGAATATGCAAACAAATTTTCATCGAGATTAATTTTATCACTTTATTGGAAAAGTATAATTATTAAATAATACATGATTAGGATGTCTTTAGTATAATAAGAATGATTGTTTTATTTTTTATCTTGAACATATTGGAGGACATTTTTTTATGAAACTTCAATTATTTGTATAATTTCACGAATCAATATCAATATTTGTCACATTCGGTTCTTCAATATCACTGATTGTTAAGTTTCTCGTCTCTTCAATATCAACAATATCACCTTCAATATCAATGGTTCTAATACTTCTTTCTTCAGGGTCTGCAGGTATTGTTATACCACCCGTGTCTATGCTTTCTTCCTCTTCTCTAGGAATTTTTAAAAAGCAATGCATTGTTTCATCATCCTCTTGTTCAATGGTAGAATCATTTTTATTTAAACTTTCTGTTGCTGATAGTGAACTCTGAAGATGTTTCGATGGTATTTGTATTGTAATTGTTTGAGAAGTACCATCAGCAGACGTTGAGGAAGACATTAAATTAGCTTCTAACGTATCTCCATCTTTCGAATAGGCACCTAAACAGCTGTAAACTAATTGCGCTGCCGCAATATTGCCGGGAAAGACTTCAACATTCTCGTTATCTGCGTGTAAAGAAAGTAGTAAAGAAATTTAAATAGAAATATTTACAAAGTTAAACACATATGTGCTTCAACAAATCTCAATACCTTTTTTCTGCACATTAGATTTGATTAAACCTTTTTCATGATCTCCCAAGTGCTGGATATAACTTTCATTTTTCACCGTTTTAAAAGGACACAAGTCGCACGTAAATAAGCCAGATAGCAGAGGATGTCTGGATTTCAAATGATTCTTATAGCTGCTACTTTGTATCGCGGTATATGAGCAATGTGGACATTTGTATGGTCGAAAGCCTATGGTAAAAAATCGAATTACTTTTCCAATCATAATTAACTTTAAATTAACTTTAATTAACTTTAAGTGCCATGCTTACCTGTATGTTGCATAATATGTCGTCGTAAAGTATTGTGATCTCCAGTTCTATAGTCACAAATCTCACAACTGAAAGGCTTGTCTCCCGTATGTTGACGCAAATGCATTTGCAACATTGCCTTTCTAGCGCTAGCATGGCCGCAAACATTACAAACATACGGACGTAACTTTGAATGTACAGCTTGAATATGATTCTTTAAACATTTCGAGTTTGCATAAGTTTTACCGCACAAGTCGCATTTTTTGGAAGTGTACCATCGAGTTACTTCTAACGTTTTACGATCTAAATGCATTACACGATGATTACGTAACTGGCTAGCTTGTTTGAAACATTTCCCGCAATCAGGACACTTATAGTCACGAGTATCACTATGCACTCTCATATGCGTTAAGAGTTTTACCATGGTAGCACTTTTGTAGACTTCGCAAATCTTGCAGGTAAACAAGCCTACATCTACATAAAAGCGAAAAAAAAATATAATTCTTTTAAAGTTATTAATATTTTCATTATCTATCTTATATCTACAAACCAATTTGATGTTTTTTCCATAAATGCAAGCTACATTGGCGCCATTTCGTAAACTTCACGTCTCGACATACACTGCATTTAAACGTTGTAGCAGTTTCAAATTCCGTATGGCAAAGAATATGTTGCTGCATAATTTCTTCTGAAGCGAATTTGTGCGGACAGCCTTGATACGAACACCTTGATAAAAGATCGCTTAAGTAATATACTTATTTTACATGACATATTTTTTTAGAAAATTACATACTTCACGTTTTTCTCTGTTGAGTCTATCATTTTCTTATTACGCATATATTCCGAATTTAAACTCTTCGAAATTTTTACTGCATTTTCCTCGTTGTTTTCGATATGTTGGCCTCCATGTTCAACCGTTAAGCTAGGATTCGTCAGATCTGTTAAATTTTCTTTTCCAGCTTCGTCGCTCCCAATGTCTGTTAATTGATGATCCTAAGAAAAATACATTCCATCATATCGCCTAGGTAAAAGGTAGCCTATCTTCCAGAAAATTAATTTTGAAATGATTACACACATTAATCATGTGTTCTCTATAGTCCTCAAAAGAATGGAAGTAGTTGGAACATTCGGCACACATATAAACTATTCTTACTTCATCCGCATTTTTAGTTTCTTCTCTTGGCTATATATAATAATAAAAGTAAGCCAATTTTTATATTGCATTATAAGCTTCTGCTAAGCAAAATACAATTACTTTAATTAAAATTACAATTTACAATGTGAATCTCAATTATAACTTACGTCAATATTTATAGTAGAATTTAAATGTAATTTTTGGATATGACCTAATAGTTGTAATTTGTCTTGAGATAGATAAGTACACATTTTACATTTGAAAGCAGTCACAATTTCTAAAAAATCGTCGGTGTTAATGTTGTCATCCTCTACAACAAGAGTTTTCGCTGCTTCTTCCGTGGCGATTTCGTACTGTTCTTCAGATTGTCTGTATGGATTTTCCATTACTAAACTCTCATTAGTGATGTAATCGTTCCTATTGTTTTCAGTATCCTTCGATATTAAGAATGCCTTTTCTTGATAATTAGTCCGCTCTGTGAGTTGATTAATGTCCAGCTCTTGAAGTACACCATTTTTAAATGCGTATATCTGCCCGTTCAAACACACTAGCGAAATTGGTTCTTCTCCATTGTCCTTAATAGTATCAATTGTATTTTGCTCTTCACTTGATATTGGGTCCTTCGTAATGTCTATGGTCGATGGTGTAAGTTTGTAAATGTATCTCGTACCATTTATATCACAGCTCAAATAGGACATATCCACATTGCTTTCCTCATCCATCGCTGACAAAATTATAGAATAATCTGTTGATTGAGTACAAAACTTTGAACGATTATCCAATAATTTCATTCTAGAGGATCTATTCTCAAATCATATCATATACATATTGCATGTGAAAATGTTATACTATGCATTACTCATAGATTTTTATATGCGATATGTAATATGATTCAAGAACAATGCTCCAGAGTAAATAAAATATCTTGCTTATGCTAGCAATTTTTATTGGCAGATTTGAATAGAATATTGTGACAGATTGGCACCAATTATCAATATCAGCTTATATTCGACTACATTGCTAGCAGATACCACATATATTTCATTTTAATTTATTTTTTATCTTTGTCTTGATTGTTAGAATTAGAAGTAAATAAATTTAAGTAAAATTAAAATTGGTATATGTTAAATAATTACAGCTGATATTCATAATCAGTATTCTGTACCTAAGATTGTCTTAAGTACGTAAATTAAATCTATTACAGAATCATATATTAGTATCATAATCTGTTATATTCTACTAACGAGATTTATAACAGATACTTTGCAAAATCCATCTTCGACAGATTTCTGGCAGAATTCTGGAAAGTCATTTGCTACATAAATTTCGATACATGAATCATTTAAAAATTTATAAAATCTAAACCATAATATCTTCTCTCTTTATTCTTGTAAAATCCCGATTTTACGTTACAGCTTACAATTAACATCACGAATTCGGTAGAATTTGAATGACCCTTACCGAGGCAGTAAAAAAATGCGATGGATTACGCAGTCTGTTTGAACAGTCCGTTAATTATATCTATCGCGAAATACGCGTAAATATACAAATGTACGATACGAGATAGGTTATCTCCGCGAGCAGCCGGGGCTAAAAATTCCGCGAGTGATAAGACGGAGATGAAGGCGCTTTCGTGTTTAGAAAACGAACATCGCGCACAGCAACATTGGCGCAGGAGAAACGAGGAGAAATTGTGTTCACGAAAGAATTCGAATTCGAAATTGTGTGCTTGCGAAGCACCTCGCGCACGCACGCGAGCGTCTGGTTCGAGATTTTCGGCGGTACTCGGCGCGCGAAATAGCGACGGATGATCGTCGGTGACGCGACGCGCGAAGGCACAAGTTTCGAAACAAATCGTTGTGACGTCCAGCGGGGTCCGTTCTAAGCGCGGGGCCAACCGGGGAATCGCGAGAATGTCGAATCTATGCACATTGTCCCTACGAAATTCGCGACGACTCTGCCATGTTGCGTCACGTGATCGGATAACAGCTAATGAACAATTAGGACTGTCTACAAAATAGGTGTTAAGCCTTAAATAAAAATAAAAAGTTGGTCGATTATAATAGATTATTCTCCTCGTATAAAATTATTGATAATCAATTTCTTACAGCTTAAGGCTTACTGCGTCTATTGCAGATAAGTCCCGATATATGGTAAATATAGTAAGTCTTAAACTGTAAGAATTCGAATATGATTGGTCAATTTCTTATGACTTAAAGCTTACTATACTTATTATGAACTGGAATTAATCTTTTACTTCTTGGCATAATTCATGATACAGATGTTTTCCTAATTCTTAAAATTAAAAATAGATAAAAAGTAAATTAAGTCGAAAGTCGAGAATAACATTTAATCTGTATTGGTAGAAATGAATATAAGTATCGGGTAATAAACAAAAACTCTTAAGCTTAAACCTGAGAACATGAGACTGGGGACTGGGGACGGAAAGAATTCTGAGAAAATATTTCTCTTAGAAAAAAATAATATAAATTTAGAATTGAAAAAATCCTATTTGGACTTGCAAGTTCCATTCCAAATAAATTCATAATACATATCCTGATTGATTCTGTTAATTTTTGTCCCTTAAGTCCTGCGTACAATAGAGGAAATATTAGGTACAGAAATATTAAATTTTGGAAATGAAAATTCGGAATAGATTAAACGGCATAACGAACATAAGTATAAAATATAGCTTAATACTTACGTCGTAGTATCTTGTTTAATATTCCGAATTTTCATTTTCAAAATTTATTTATAGTTAATTACTGTTTCTAATATTTTCTCCATTGTACGCAGAGTTTTATAAAAATAAGTAATATTTGTGAATAGAACAAATGAATATAACGTGAATATAATTGCTGATACGTCCAAACATCATCAAGTAATTTAGATTTTTAATATTACCGAATTTTGAATTAAAATATCTCAAAAACTAAAATTGCAATTCTTTATTCTCTTCTCTTCCCAGTTTATGATAACATTATATATATAAAATTATTTGATTAATAAAGATAATGTAATTATAATCAAATAATTTTTCAGAAGGTACAAGCAATGCAATTTAAAAACTTGTTACATTATGTCTAGAATATTTAGGTGTCCTTTCTGCATTTTGTCTAGCAAGTTCAGGAAAGAATTGAGAATTATATTTCTGTTTTATAGCAGGTTTTATAGCAGGTTCAGAAGTCTCTGATGGTATAATGGGCATTGGTCCGCCTTTCATTTTGGCTATCAATGCTTGCGTTCTTAACTGTTCACTTTGTTCCCTAAGCAATCTCTCTGTTCTTAATCTTTCTATATTTATATTAGTTTGATGTTCAATGGAAGTCTTTGGTGATATGACAGGCATTGGTCCTTTCCTTTTGGACAAGATTTTTAGCGTTTCTTGTCTTTCATATTCTTCAAGATAGAATTTCCTTTCTTTTACTTTTTTTAAATCTGTACTACTTGTAATTTCATATCTTTTCTTCTTCGAATGTTTATGTTTATGTTTATGTGTATGTTTATGTTCATCTTCATGTTCATGAAATTTCTCGAAACGCTTATTAACGACTTGTTCAAATAGGTCTGTGGATTCATCTACATATATATAGTTAGTAGTCCTCATTGGTTTCATTTCTGCTTTCACTTGTGAATGAAGTTGTTTATGTGGCATATTATCTACGTATTTCTTCATGACAATTAATGGATCGTCGCTAGCTTTCTTGAGTGCATCTATTTCTACATCTTTTTCTGTATCTATTATCCTCATTGGTAATTCCTCATACCAGTTTTTCTTTCCAGTTGCCTCGTTTGTGTTTTGTCCTAGATATGTCAAATATCCAATTTGTTTCTCATATTTTTCTTTTTCTTCCTTCTTTTCTCTCTCATGTTCCAGATTAGGTCTATTATAATCAATTTTTCCACATTCAAGGTCCTCAAAGAAATTAACATGTTCCAACTTCTCATTAGTAGTATCAGAAATATCTGTGTGATCCTTGTGATTAAATTTTGCTCGATGTCTTAGCAAATCTAGTCTTGCTTCGGTTGTCTAATAAAAAATAAAAGAATAATTATATAAAATTAGACATATAGTATGCAGTAATTTTTAGTAGTAAAACGAGATCTACATAATTGAATATTGAAAAATACCACATACCGCTTTCTGCAAACGTGCTTGCTTAACCTTTTCTTCTTCTGCAGCTTTCGCTTCATCTCGACGTACGCGTGCAATATTCTCCTTTGTTCGGACGTGCCATCTGCATGAATATGAAACAAGCGATCAATTTTAAAATGTATACGTCTAAAAAAAATACGTTTACAAAAATACGTTTACAAAAATACGTCAACTTGCCTTTTCTTCGGTAGGATATTCATCGTTAGTAAATGATTCTCGATTCGTCTCGATCAAATCAGATTGATCATTCCTTGATACAGCTAACTAGCAAATGAAGAAGACACGCATCACATTTAGGGGTGCGTTTTTCGTCGAATGTTAAACAAGGATAAAATGATACCCGGGTGCACTCGGGTGTTATTTTCGAACGCACTCTTAATAATGACTCAGATTGCGTTCAGCAAACACAAGTTATTGCACAACGATTAAATAAAACCAGCCTAAAGGCGTAATCACACTACAGGTTGCCGGTTGATGATTCTATTTCAGTCAATTATAATGTAGCAGGTCCTGGTTATGGTCAATGTGATTAGCTGAAAAAGAATCGACCGGCAACCGTAACCAACAATCCATAGTCTCATACGGCCTTAAAGCCTTGTGTCCATGTTTTGCGATGGTAGAAATCGGTCAAAATCTTAGCAAAAAAAGACTTGACCAATCGCATTGATTCAAATATAATTGTCAATATTATTTCCATCCGAGATTTCGGATCGATTTTATGGACAGCATTATGAACATAAGGTTTAAATGCTTGGTATTGGATTATAGATTTAGAGAATGATTCTAATTTCAGTTTAAATCTAAAAGTATAATCTAATCAGCATAAAAAGAAAACGTACAGATTTACTTAGCGCTAACTGTATTTGTTTGAACCTAAGAAAATTTAATATGAAATGAACGTACTAATATAAAAAAAATTTGTGAGAATAAAAAACAGAGAAATTTGAGAATGGCCTTCCACTATTTCGGCCATTTTTGTGACACTAGATAAAAAGAACTTTATATAGGACTAGTAGTTGAACTTTTTGTGTGCAATTGGACTTGATTGGATACAATTTCCAAAATGTAAAGCCAGCGGTACACAATGCTGATTTGCTAGCTGGATTCGCATGCTTACTGAGCTCTTGTCTTCGATTGATATATTATTTTAGATCCAAAAAAATATACCAATCAAAGACAAGAACTCAGCAAGTATGTAAATTCATCTAGCAAACTAGCAGGAAAAAAAGCATCGTGTGTGTCGCTAGCTTAATATAGGATTCGCATTGCATTCGACATATGACGATATCCAATAGAAGAATTTCACTTTTTAGAGTTTTTAGAGAGCAACATTTTGTCTCTAGAAAACGCATTCTTCTATTGGACATCATACGTCAGATGTTCAGTGTGAATTTTTGTATAACTCAAAATCGTGAAATTTTATTCGTCACAGTTGGTAACTTACGAGAGGCTATCAAGAATTTCACATTCGAGGTTAGTTTGTAGTGTGCTCTTTTTCGGACAGTATTTTTTATTTACATTTCCGCTCTTCTTGGAAAGTAAGTAAATGTATATGTTTTTCGCTTGTGATATAATATGCATTCTTGTAAAAATAAGCGAAAAGTATTATTTTGTTAATATATATTGATATGCGTGATTACTGTAACTTAATCGGCATGCCATGAAAATGCTATTCATAAAAAATAGGAAAATTAATCATTTTTTAAGAATTCATACTTTCGTAAACAACGTGTACACTTTTTTCATGCAGATTACAAATTTACATCATGGCTGCAACGATGCCAATAAATCCTAAACCATTTTTAAATGGTTTAACTGGAAAACCGGTCATGGTAAAATTAAAATGGGGCCACGAGTATAAAGGTTATCTAGTCTCAGTCGATGGATATATGAATCTACAACTTGCTAACACTGAGGAGCACATAGATGGCAACTGCACCGGAAATCTTGGCGAAGTGCTAATTAGGTGTAATAATGTCATGTACATACGAGGAGTAGAAGAATCGGATGAGGAAGGAGAGATGAAGGATTAAACATGAACAAATCTAAAATTTCAATGTACATTATAATCGTGTATTTTTAAGCATTAATTTAATTCATTTAATAAACTACATCTTATAAAAGGCTGTGTTTTTACAAGGACAGGTAGTGATTATAAGCTTGTATTAGCATGATTTTGGTACATTGGTCACTATAGGCTTTGGCCTTGATTTAAACAGGAGTTTCTTCTTCACAATAGCTTTCACTAAATATTCAGTCTTTACTGTAGCTTCTTCCCCTGTTGCTTTGTCATCTGTATTATGATGCTTTTCTAATACAATTAGAGGTTTTTCCAGCGTTATCTCTTTTCCATGCAAAACATGAATTCCAATAATTAATATTGGCACTCCATCTTTCGTGAAGTGAAGATCACCGACTAATTGATTGTCCGGATCATCGGTCTCTTCGAATTTCAAATCACCTTGAAGATCTATAATCGCCCAGGTTTCTATCTCTCCATCTCTGAAATGAATTACAAGCCTAAGCTCATTTACAGAAAGAGTAAATAAAAGAATAAATAAAATAGTACTAGTAATATATAGTAGTATATAATAATATAAGATGACATAAAAAAAATGTAAATTGGAAATAAATATGTACTGGAAATGAACCTTTTGATCGGCACGATCATCCTTGCCAGGTTAGGTGTTAAATAGCGCCAAAACTTGTGTTTGTGAAATTTATATCGAAACGAACTGTAAATTCCCTAGAAATTATACTGAAACGACGCGAGAAGATCACAAGATTACTTCACTTTTTTCCATATTTGAAAATTCGATAAAAAGAAAGCGTTGCAATCCCAATCAGCCAAGTCCATCGACAATAGATTAAGCATTTGCTACAAATTTTATCAAAAAAAGATGATAGATTTGGATACAAGATTTGGAATATACAATAAAATGTTAGCAGAATGCTGACAGAAATAAAAATTTCTTAACAAGATATAATAAAAGAAAGCAATTTGTGGATTCTGCGTGATTTCTTCCAACAATCTGCAACTTTCTTACCGAAAATAAAGATTGAAATGTAGCGTAAGAGGAGAATGAAAATGTGAACAAAGGAGAAATGAAACTAATATTGGAATATTGGAACTTAAAAGAAAATGTTTATTTCTAAAATATTCGTTGTTCAAAAAATACTCAAGATTTTCCTATAAATTAATTTTTTGTTTCTTGCAATTGATTTCAAAGAACATTCACAATCAGCTTTTCTTATCGATTAAGAAAAATATTAAATTACAAATATATTTATAAAAATATATAAAAATATTAAATTTAAAAATAATGTTATTTTGTTTATATTTTATCTTCGTAATTCAAATTCGTAATCCTATTTATTTAATGTTTCGTACGTACAAATATAAGAAATATATATTCTTTTTAAATTTTAATAACTTTTTGCTTCTATTGTACAGCGATAGCCAATAATACATTTTTAATAGACATAAATGGTATTAGATCTGTTGCAATATTCTGAGTAAACATGTTGCTAATATGCAATGTTATGGATAGTTTGCTTACTAGAATATTTCTACGTTTGAATGCATTTTCTCCTACCATTTATATTATTTTTATATACATTTTTTATAAATATAATCAAAAGCTAGAAACAATATGTGATTGTAATTTACGAATAATATTTTTTATATCAATATTCGCATAAAGAAATATTATTTTAAAGAATAACAAAATAATATAATAAATGAAATAAATACATGTTATTATCTATATGAATTCATAAAAGAGAACAAATATCAGGCCGCCACAGATTTATAAGATTTATATAATCGCAATTAGTTATATATTAATTATAATTGATTAGTTATAATTAGTTATAATTAAAATAAAAGAATTATTAGCAAAATATAAATTCATGTTGCATTATATATTTGTGAAAATATATAATGAGTACCGGAATAAATAAATAGCCATATAGATAGATTGGTCTCAATTTGAGATGTCATTTGTATTTCCATTTTATTTCCGATTCTTTTCTTCACATCAAAGTAAGTACATTGGACGTAAATCACAGCACATCTCCATTTGAATAAACACTTATGCATCGTCTGTAAATAGCGTGCACACATAACAGTACAAATAATGTTTTGTAGGTGCGTATTTATTATCGAGCGTATTACTGCCGGATGTGATTTCTCTCGAAATTCAAAGTATGTCTCAAAATAATAAAGTTTGTGCTTGCGCGTCACACAGCGCTTTACAGATATGCCTGTCGATTTTATCTTATGCAGAGAAGCTGGACTTAAAATAAATTCGTACGAATTTGGCGCACAAATCTCTCGACAACTTGAAGAACTATAGAAATAATACACACTAACACAAAATACAGATCTCAAAACGTTTATGAAAATAAATGAGAGTTATTGCAAAAACTGATTCACGTAAACTGAGATTCGATCGTTTCTTTGCGCAATCTTTCTGAGATGAAGCATCGAAGAAGTTTGTGATGTAAATATTCCATAAAGCATTTCTCTCTTCATTAACATTTTATATTCAGAATCCAGAGATGATCTTTGTACGTGTATGCAGATGTACGATAAAGTTTTATACCTAACTTAGCTTTGATTATCTATATATCAATCGAGAATTAGGCGATAAACTTGCAAGAAAGATGCGCACTAAGGCAAGATCGCTCGTAGAGATCGCGTGCGTAAATTGTTTAATATATATATATATATATATATATATATATATACAATGTGCGTGATGTATATATGAATATATTTATATATGTACAAAGTCCTTTGTGTATAATGTTCCCTAAGGATAGTATAAAATATTTGAGGAAGATAACTGCGCGTGACGATCAGAGATAGGAAAGTGATACTTTCATTCATATTATAGATAATTATGTCTCTTATCCACTACAACTTATAAATCTGTAACGCTTTGTACGGAACATACGTTCTTACATATGAGAGATATAAACCTATTAAGAAGATGAGAAGATTCTCTATGCGTAAAAGTGTCTTTTATGATTTATTTTCCTGTTGTAAAAAGCATTAGCCTCTAATGTTAGTAGCATGTAATTTTAACTTATTTCTAATATTCCTAATTCCGGACTAAGTATCATTCATGTTCGAGAGATACAGTACTAATATATTTTTTGTATTTTACGTAATATATAATTCTTAAATAACACATTATGTATAAAAACGAATTGTTTGAATAAATAAGTTGCCGAAAAATAATTTTTCGGAAAAAAAAATTTGAAAAGATGAAATAATTATTCTTAATATATTTTAATATAACTTGTTTTGTTGAAAAATTGTAAAATTAGGAATTTAATTGAAACTATGGCAAGATAGATTATTGCAGCAATTTTGTTTTATTGAATCAGAACACAAGTCATTATCAGAATATGAGTCTATCAAACTTTTTTAAACTAATATTAACATCAGTATAAGAAAAATAATGCTTGTTAGATACAATAAATAAATAAATAAACTATTTCAGCGGACGGATAGATTTTTATGAAAGCGAGAAGAAGTTCCCATAGAACATGATCTACATTCTTATATTATGATACTTTCGTGAAAAAAAATCGCCTAAAAAAGCATAACAGTAATAATATTAGCGTTATTCAGGCTACCTCTATTAGGAGATAATAATTAACAATGCTAAATAATGGTGTGGACACTTTCTATTTTTCGGATCATGTATCGATGATTTTCTATCATTTGATTATTTGAGATCTAAAAATTTTTGAAGATAGCTTCGAAGAAACGTTAAATATTTTTGTAAATTGTATTAATATTGTGAGGTAATGAGAAAGCGAATAGGTTAATATT